CCCATGGTGGCGAGAGTGCAGGTGATGGAGAACATGATAATCCCAGCTGGTCACGAGGCGATCCTCACGGGGCAGATAAAGACTGAACCACGGATGGGAGTCGGGATGGTTTACCCCAGCTAGGAGGCTACGGACCATTGCCAGGTCGCGGTCGCTACCGGCCTGGTTGACACAAACGATGGAACCGTGCCGGTTCGGGTTTTCAACCCGACGACCGACCCTGTAATGCATTGACCACAGCACCCGTGTTGTGTTATCCGAATACGACACATCGCTACGTCCTGGACACAGATGCCAGCTACTGCACCATCGGAGCAGTGCTGTCGCAGGAGGGAGACGATGGTGAACGAGTGGTTGCCTATGGCAGCCGCACCCTGTCTAAGGCCGAACGCAACTACTGTACCACTCGGAGAGAGTTGCTAGCTGTGGTCCATTTCGTTCACTATTTCAAACATTACCTTCTTGGTAAACGGTTCCTGCTCAGAACGGATCACGGGTCGCTGCGATGGCTGTTCAACTTCCGCAAACCCGAGGGGCAGACGGCCAGGTGGATTCAGGGGCTTGGGTGCTACGAGTTCGATGTGGAACATCGGGCGGGTAGGAAGCACACGAACGCCGACGCCGTCTCTAGAATCCCGTGTGGCCAGTGTGGGCGATCCAAGGAAGCAAGTCAGGAATGCTTTACTAAAGAAGGCCCCCTTGCTCAGCGGGACGCTGACTTGCAGTCAAGCCAGTCGCACGATGGCGGGAAGGCGCAACCAAGGGAGGTGCTGGTGGGAGCCGTTGCGGGGGCTGGGCAGGATGAAGCCACCACCACGGAGGGACTCCTGAAAGCCTGGGACCAAGAGGAACTCAAACGGGAACAACAGAGTGACCCTGAACTGGACAGGATCGTGCAGTGGCTGGGGGACGGGGTCCCCAAACCCAGCTGGCGGGACGTCTCGGCGCTGGGTGAAGTCCCAAAGTACTGGTGGGCTAAGTGGGAGACACTGCGGCTGTCCCAAGGTGTATTGCAGGTGAAGTGGGAGCAGCCCAATGGCGAACCACCGGTATGGAAGGTCGTGGTACCACGAGTGAAAGTAGACGACGTCTTGCGACTAACGCCTGACAATAGGACTTCAGGACATGTGGGGATCACCCGGACCATCGCATGGCTGAGACAGGCTCCGGTTTTCTGGAGGGGGATGCGACGCCAGGCAGAAGAGTGGTGTCAAAAGTGCCACAAGTGTGGGTCCAAGAAGTCACCTCCTCGACCTCTCAAGGCCCCACTTCAACAGTACCTGGTAGGGGCTCCGATGGAGCGCCTCGCGATTGACCTCACGGGTCGACTCCCGAGGACGAGGACAGGGAATTCTAGCATCATGGTGGTAGCCGACTACTTTACGAAGTGGGTAGAGGCATTTCCGATCCCAGACCAGACTGCTCGGACGGTCACCAGAGTCCTCGTCGAACAGGTCATCACCCGGTTTGGAGCTCCCCTCGAGATCCACACGGATCAAGGGAGGGAGTTCGAAGCCGAGCTCTTCCAGGGCACCTGTAAGCTGCTTGGCGTCCAAATGGCGTCCAAAGAGGTTCAACCGCACAGTCAAGACGATGCTGAGCCTGTTTGTTCATGAGAACCAGGACGATTGGGACGAACACCTACCGCGCCAGACACCACCGTTTCTGCCAAGGGGACAGCGTGGCCGTGGTGATGGTGGAGGCCAATGCGCTGGAGGTGCACGCCAGTGACGACGATCTCTCCTGGCAGGGGACCCCGGACCCACCTCCATTCGGACGATGTGGTCCGGCAGGACGGTCCCCGTTGTTGCTGCTGCCACTAAGAAGACGGGTAAGTCCCGTGTTGTCAGGGGGGCTGGGGGGCCGCGACCACCCGGAGCGGTCCTTCCGGCCTTCCCGCCCTGAACAGGACAGGTCGCCCGGAGCCGGGACCGGGCCGAGCGACCCTGCCAGCCACCACCCCGGCGGAGTCCTGACCGGCGGTTCCCCTGGAGCCGTGCCCGGGGCAGGCGTCCTCGCTTCAGCAGGGCAGCGGAAGCAAGCCCTGGTCGCCCCCAGCCAACACAGGCGGCAGCGGAATGCAGACGGAACCCCCGATGTCCCCCGAGGTTCCGGTCCAACCGTGGCATGGCCAGCGGAGGGTTCTGCCGGCCGGGTCTCGGGTGAGTCTTCCGGACGGGACCTCGCTGTGACTGGAGACGGCCGGCGCCCTCCACCCGGACAACACCACCAGGGAGGCCGCCACGCGCATGCTGGAACCCCTGTGCGAGCATGCGCGGGACGAATGGCGGCTAGAAAGGACAGTCCATGGAGCAGACGAGGTCGGCCACCGGCTGATGCGGACACGGGTGGTCCAAACCTATGAAGTGCCTGGGCGTCTCCTGCAGACGTACCAGGGACAGCAGTACCGCCAGCACTTCGTGGATCCCTCCGTGTCCGCTCAAACTTCACTGGGAGGAATGCTGCCCCCTGGAGCGCCTCCGCCTCCGCGCTACACCGATGGCGTCCCCCGAGAGTTCTGGGAGCAGCTGTTCTGACAAACGGAGTTCCAGCGCCGGCCGCCACCCACCAACTAAACCTTAGACTTGTTCTTTGATTTCTTGTTCTTTCCTTGCATTTTCTTTTTGTTGTTGTTTTTGTTTTGAATGCTGTAGTAATTTTGTTGTGTCATGCGCCTCCGGGCCGGGTCTTCCTGGTTGTCCGGTTGCGGATGCCGGCGCCCTGTTTGGGGACAAACAAAGTCCTCGAAGGGGGCGGTGTGGTGTCCGTGCCGGTCGGCCGCTAGAGGGCACCAGCGCGGTTCCACGGTGGAGCCGCGCAGTGGAGCCCCTGGTGGCCAGCCGGGGAGGCCCGTTCTTTCGGGCGGCGCATGCGCAGGAGTATTGTTGTGGCCTCGTTGCTGAAGAGAATAGTTGTGTTTTGCAGTGTACTTTTTTGTGAGGAATAAACAGCCTAAAGCCAGCAGAAACAAGTATACCTGTGTTGGAGTCCTTTTTGAGTGCGTTACATTACATTTATTTTGATGCTGCATAAAGGACGATACATAATTTTTTACAAAAACAAAATCCACGTACGCATATGTGTGGGCTAGGAATTCTTAAAGCTGTAGTTCATCATTTTCAGCCATCCGAAAAAGTAACTGGCGTATTATTGTTGAAAAACATACTTGGTTGAAAGATACTCAGTGGACTAAACTCTCTGTGAAATTAATCTTTCTGGCCAGCAATCATTTTGAAGTAATCGACGAAAGAAGGCCTTTCCAACGGTGCATCTTAAGACGCACCGTAGGAAAATTTAAATTAGTAGTTTGTTTTGTTATTCGGCGCAGCGCGCGCAAGCATTGGCACGACGCACAGGCGCACGCAGTTGCTATAATTCGTCGGATCAGTGCGCGACATCGCGTATAGCTTCAATTCAAAACAATTCAAAACATGATTCAGCAACTTTTGGTTTGAAATTGAGATCCTAGACTGCTGTTTTTTTTTCGGAATATACAGCTGAGCTGAAACTTCATCAGGTTAGTTGTTCAGTATCCTTCATTAGATTTTGAACACTTTTGTTGCTTTAAACGAAGAAAATGCACAAATTACAAATGATGGACTATATGTCTAACATAGCGAGCCTCCACCGTAGACCCAACCTCGTTTCCAGGGTGTCGAGCAGGCTGCAGTATACAAATATAACATGGTTTGAGGGTGGACAGTCGATATTCGCTCCCCGAGGTATTGGAAGTTGACAAACTAGTTCCCTCGGCTTTGCCTCGGGAACTAGTTTGTCAACTTCCAATACTGAGGGGAGCTAATATCGGCTGTCCACCCGAAATAAACCATGTTATATTTGTTTAATTATACCTCATACATATTTAGCGACGATTTGTTTGGTTTTTTTTCCGTTTCATAAAGGAACCTCAAACAATATTTTTTTGAAAAACTTGTCAAGTTCACCAAAAGAATCGTGTTGCTCAACTTCACTAGTTCAATTATGAAAGGTTTGCGGAAACACCATGTGTGCATAATTTCTCAACTAAGAGAATGGTTCTGAAAAGAGAAAACGGTCAGAGCATACTGACCAGAACGTCGAGTTTATACCTCTGGTTCTTTTCAGAACCATTCTCTTTATAGTTGAGAAATTATGCACACATGGTGTTTCCGCAAACCTTTCATTATTTAGTATCTCCACCATGCAAAGCCTCAAATCTTACTTCACTAGTTCAGTTCGTTTACCATACAGTGCAGATGTAAATACTATGAAGCCCGGGAAGGGACAGGGTGGAATTTTTTTTTTAAATTTCCTAATTCGTTCGCACGAATTACTAATTCGTTCGCACGAATTGCTAATTCGTTCGCACGAATTGCTAATTCGTTCGCACGAATTGCTAATATATTTGCACGAATTCCTATTTCGTTCGCACGAATTCCTAATTCGTTCGCACGAATTGCTATTTCGTTCGCACGAATTCCTAATTCATTTGCACGAATTACTAATTCGTGGGAACGAATTAGTAATATGTTCCCACGAATTAGTTATTCGTTCGCACGAATTCCTATTCGTAATTCGTGGGAACGAATTAGTAATTCGTTCCCACGAATTACTAATTCGTTCACACGAATTAGTAATTCGTCTGAGCGAATTACTAATTCGTTCCCACGAATTACTAATTCGTGCGAACGAATTAGTAATTCGTGCAAACGAATTAGCAAACTCCAAAAAAATTTCCACCCTGTCCCTTCCCGGGCTTCATAAAATACAGTAGTTAAACCCCTATGTATATATTCTTTGTACAATTTTTTTAGGAGGCATCTTTATTGCCATAAATATTCTCTAGTTTGGCATCATTGAGCTCGGGAAACTGTCGCATATGGGTAACCCATGCGACAGTCTACTACGCGTGCATATTCACGTACCCTGTGCGTGAATCCTCGAGCGTGCGCTCGGTGAAGAGCAAAAATAACATCTGGCACGTGATGGTGAATTGACCAGTGAGAGTTCGGCTATCGATCATGAATGTGTATGAGGTATAGTAATACACATTGACATCGACAGTTTTACGCATATCCCGGAAGTACGCAGTGCAAACTTCAGATTGGCCCGATGCAGACCGCGCAAGGTAATGTGTGGTCCTTCTCTGAGTATTCATTGCATTCGGCGCAGGGGCGGCAAGCGAAGCATAGGAAAGAATAGGGGCACTTGGTGGCCACGCACCATGGAGAAAAAAAATATTTTGCCAAGGTCACCCCAGACTACCGTTAGATGATATACAAATAATAAATGTTTGTTAGTGCAATGGTAAGAATAATTTCATTCGGTGACAGATGAAATGTTCCATTCTACGAGGCGAAGCCGAGTGGAATGGAACATTCACTGAATGAAATGATTCTTTCCATTGCACGAACGTGAAACATTCATTATTTGTTTTATATATCACCTGAATAAATCCTTGTCATCTGATTGGTTGACTTCTAAAAAGCCAGTTTATTCAGGTTAAAAACTGTTTAAAAGTTCGACAAGTTCATTATATTTATATAAATGCAAAATGTTCGACAGGTTAAGAACAATCAGATTCAATTTATCTCGATTTAAAACAGTGCCACCACCAGCAGAAGTGACACCGTGCAATGGAAGTTATATTCACAGTGCAATAGAACTTCCATTGCACTGTGCGCTGCGCGCCACGCGCGCGCCGTGCGTTGGTACAAATAATTCAATGACATGTGATCAACGATCCACCAATCAGATGACTGGGATTTGTTCAGGTGTTGTATAAACACTTTTGTAGAACGGCCAAGTAGAACACGTAAACAGAACCCCTACGTTGAAGCCGCTGACCACGCACAAACTTGACGCGAAGAAAAGCACAAGGGGCGGCCAGGCATTCAGTTATGAAAGCGCACACGACGGCAAATTCCTGTGCAAAACGCAGTCACGAAAAATTGACAAAACGGATCGCCGGTTCGTACAGGAAAATTAAGACGACCCGAAATGTCCGACCCGGCGGAAGACACCCTCCGCATTTTTCGACGGACGTGGAGCGATTTTGGCGCCGCGGGACCCCGCGGTCTCGGATCAGGAGCAAACATTTCTTGGAGGCCGAGTAAAACTTGCTCTTATAATTATAGATAAAATGATCGTCATATAAAACTCATCTGCATGCTGAGATGGAGTTATTGGCTGATTGTCTTGTTGAAAGTCTGGCAATAGTCTGTTGGTGATTGGAACGAAGGATGAGTAGGTTGGATGTTACTTGGCATATTTGATGGGCTGTGGCCTAAGCTTATTGCCTTTGACAAAGATCCTACTAGAAATAAAATGTTTGGACTTGTGTGATTTGAGAATATATATTTCGAAATACATTTGGGTTTGTGAAGACCAATTACTCTGTCTCAAAGGGGGATCATCAGTTGACACTAGGAGTAGAACTGTCCACGCTACAAACATGTCAACCTTCATGCAATTCAGGCATCGTCCACTTTTCATTGTGTTTATGGGCTTACTAGCTCAGAATGTTTGAAATCTCTATCTTTATTTGTTGTTGTCCTATTGGCTTTTAAGGAAGAAGAATAGGAGTCTTGAAGTGCTGATTTAGGAAAACTACATCTTTAATTAGCCTTCAAATGGCAACATGTGGGCTAATGCTTTTAAATGCGGATGCTTGACCATTCTAAAATCTAAAATATTAATTGCTTGATATTTTGTCTTGGCACTGAAATTTTTTACCTTTTGGTGCACAGATATTTTGGTTTGGATGCACAGATTCTAATGTTTCTTGGGTGGTCGCTAACAACTGCCCTTGCACCAAAGGGTTAACCGAGGTTGCAGCCAAAATGCCATTCTTGTGTGGCTGGATTCCTAGTCTGTGGAAATTACTTGTTTTTTGTTACAATCATCTTCATAAACTTTGTCTACTGTGCCATTAACACTGGCAAAGGATTCATAGTTTTATATTTTGGTTTATTAATTTAGTCGCACATCTGGGCCCACGTCTGGCAGTCGATTCAATGAAGGCCTGACTACAATCACCTACCAAGCCAGAGATGGAGCTGGGAATGTTGCTTATTGTTACATCAGGATCACTGTTAATGGTATGCCAATAACCACTCAGTCAGTTAGTAATTTGTGAATATGTACTGCTTTTTACCAATGATCTCCAAGTGCTTATTCCCCCTATTCACCAGCCAATGAGATCAGTTTTCGGCAGTGTACTTATTTCAGTGCAACCTATTCTCTGCACTTTAGGTACGTTATGTGGAGAGAGATATGTCTTGTCCAAGAATACAAAGACGATTCATGAAATTCTATTTGTAGATACAGCTATGAAAAGACTCAAAATTCAGAACTTGGATTCAGATTCGGGAGGTTTGTGGAGACCGTTTGTCTGTTAAATATGACATGAGTAATAAACGTAATTTTTTAACCTACAGTGCTGCGATGTCCAAGTGTTGGATCAAGCAGTCATAGGTCACATAGCTGCTCCAAAACAAACATAGCTGGCTCAGTCTGCACCTTCCACTGCTCGACTGGATACAACTTGGTTGGGTCATCCGCTGTCACTTGTCAGACCAACCGTGTCTGGAATAGGGGATTTCCAACATGTCAAGGTAAAGAAATAAAACCTGGATAAATTCTTTTAAAAAGCCATCTTTATGACAACTGAAGGAAATGTTGTCATCAGCAAGCATTTGAGATTACATTTTCAGGTCAGCACGTCATCTGAAATTCCCAGTTCAGTAATTTGCTGAGATCCTGAGCTCAACATCATGTCAGGATCCCAGAAGAATCACACAGGTAGTGGACTAGTCCAGAAAATTTGGACTCAATACTGTGTATGAGTGTCCCAAAATTTAACGTAAAACATGGAACAAGAAAATAGACTGGCACTTGAAACAAAAAGTCAAACACCCATTTGGTACTGCATCAGTCAACTGTGTCAAAAGAAAGATATGGTACTTAGTTTTGATTTCTACACATCTCTACATGGTGGTGCCACCAGACCACTGAATGGTCAAGCTTTTCAAACAGTTGGACATGCACTGGTCCAGTTTTACGCTTTAAAACAAAATTGCTTTGCTTCACCCTCAGGTGCAAAATTTTGAAGAAAAGTCTCCTTTAAAAATTGAATGCAGACTTCAAAATTGGCTGGTGAAATTGACTGAGGACAATTGACTTTGCCTCCAGACAATTTTTGAGAATTTTGTCCACTAAAGAGTGAATAAAGTTAGCTTGAATTTGCTCTGCATGTTTCTCAGCATTCTAGGTCCCAGTCTGGTGGTGGACCCAGGATGTTCCAAAATTAGGGTGACTAGTTGGAATCCAAGGCCAATGAACCAAGATTAACACACTTGCGTGATTCAGTGAGCTTTAATAAGGAAATTGTTGATTTTTCCATTATGTGAATACAGTAGAACATCACCATAATCATAGAGAAATGACATGATGGGGTCCACAAGAGAATGTTCCATGCGACCAATGGCATGATACTAAAAGTTTACAAAATTGAGTCCACATGTACACGTACTTGTATACATGCATTTCCTTCCATTCAATGGCAAATGAATCCAGAATGTCTATCATTCAAATGTGCATTCATTAACTCTCATTAACTGCCTGAAGATGAAGGAAACTTCCAGCAACGTAAATGAACAGTCATGTGACAAAAATGACCAACATAGCTGCTACCGCCTGGTTGCAATGTGCACGGACAGCCCACTCCACATACACACACCAGCAGCATCTTTTCCAAAAATCATGGTGCTCTTTCGTTAATGATACGAGCAATAAAACTTCATAAACAAAATACCAGAAAATGCCAAACTTTAATGCACAAAAGGGGAGAATATATAATTGTCCTGAATTAACTCTTTGAAATCTTCATTTTATATCATTGATGATTATGTATAATTTTTACGTTTTGGTGAACAGTGAATTCATAGCCATCGTGGTGTTCCTCAAGGACCGAAACTCAGCCCCATTTGTTTCCAAATTTTGATTAACGATGCAGCTCAAGGTTCCCATTCAAAAATCTGGAAATACCTGGACAAACTCACCCTCATTGAAAATCGCACAGCCTCTTGTGAAAGTCTCATCCAAAGTGACCTAAATTATCTTAAAGTGTGGGTTGATAATAACAGTCTTAAGCTCAATCCTTCGAAATGCCAAGCTCTGCAGGTGTGTTTCAAGAAAACGTCACTGTCGTTAAATGTTCTGAAAATTGGTACTGATTCACTGCGTTATGTAAGTTCTGCTAAGGTTCTGGGTATCTGGTTGCAAAATGACTTAAAATGGAACACCCATGTGAACAACATCCTTGTTAAGGCCAATAGGAAACTGTTCATGCTGAGAACATTGAAAAGATTCGGTTTTAATGTTGATGAACTGAAAGCAGTTTATATGGGTTATTCCTTCCAGTTCTAGAGTACTGTAACGTTGTCTCAAGTCTTACACGTAAACATGTCAGTGACATTGAAATTATACAAAAAAGGGTGTGTTGGGTCATACTGGTAATAAGTACACCTCTTACAGCAATGCGCTCAAGGTCGTTGATATTGACTCGCTAGAAGACAGAAGGATAAACCATTGTACCAAATTTGCTGTCGGGCTCTTGCAAAACACGAGAACATGTCCCATTGCCTTATGCAAACACATTTTCTTCCTTACCAGTGCTAGTACGTCATGATTTCAGAGAAGCCCCATACCATATTTTTTTACGCTTTTAAACGAATAACCCTTTTTTGGGAGTTAAGGATTGCGTGTTTGGGACACACACTTCCAGGTGTGTGTTTGCCTGCAGTCGGGGACCCCTGTTGTCCCTCTTTTGTTTGTGCTTTGACTTTTTGGGAAGGCCTCTCGCCTGTTTTGCGCACGTTGCCATGTTAGGGACCTCCGGGAGTTGTGGACCCTGTTGTCCTCTATTGCAAAAACAAAAACAAAACAAAACCCAATGCACTAAAAAATATAAAAATTAAAAAAAAATCTTAATCTTTTAAAACGTTCATAATGATATAGTGTAATTCATGCTAATTATTGTTGTCAATGTTTGAACATAAGGTTTTACTTAATGATTTTAATTTTAAATAAATACTGAATTCACATGCAATTTGGCCTTCGGGCCACGATTTGTGGATGAATAAACCGATCTATTTATCTACAACAGCTAGTGTTCATTATATGAAAATTTTACTGTAATAAACATTTGTCCGTTTTTTTTGTATCCACCTCAGTCCCCCCACCATCCCCTGATTCCACTGTGCACACTGATATTTCCAGGTCAGCACTTTGCATAAATTAATTTTACACATTCTCCAGGTGCACCCCAGGTCAGCATTTTGTGAATATCCCCAGGTCAGCATTTTGTGAATATCCCCAGGTCAGCATTTTGTGAATATCCCCAGGTCAGCATTTTGTGAATTTTCCCAGGTCAGAAATTCTTAATGTTCTCCTACCCTCCAAGATTCTTGGAGTGCACATGGGCTTGATGGCCCTCGAAAGTTGGAAGTACAAATATATCCTCCATTATTTTTCCTCATTTTGTGTGAAATTTCAACCCCAGTGCGAACTTGCAGCCCGTCATTGACAAATCTCGCTAATGGACAAATTTCCTGTACCAACTCCAACCGATGGAACAGTGTGTGTACGTTTAGGTGCAACACAGGGTATGGGTTGTCATCTGGTGGAAGCACCTACACAAGAACATGCAGTAACAGTTGGTCGGGAACGTCTCCAACTTGTACAGGTAAAATTCAATGATGTGCTACAGCTGTCCTGAATATACGGAATACTCAAAAATGTTTGATCATCAACCGAATATTCAAATAGCTTTTTGATGGTTTGAATATTTTGAAAACAAAAAACTACGCAGGTACATGTATGCACTAGACTGTGATACTATTTTATTCTTAAAGGTGTAGTCCATAATTTGTGCATTTTGTTCGTTTGAAGCAACAATACTGCTCAAATTCTAAAGAAGGGTACGGAAGCTTGAATTGCCTTCCGCGATACCGCGTTACCGTGATAATTTATCACAGAAATCCGGAATTCAAAGATAAATCCTTCCTCGATACCGCGTTACTGTGATAATTTATTGCAGAAATCCGGAAATCAAAGATAAATCCTTCCTCGATACCGCGTAACCGTGATAATTTATCACAGAAATCCTGAATTCAGAGATAATTCCTTCCTCGATACCGCGTTACCGCGATAAATTATCACAGAAATCCGGAATTCAAAGATAATCCCTTCCTCGATACCGCGTTACCGTGATAATTTATCACAGAAATCCGGAATTCAGAGATACCTTTTCCTCGATACCGCGTTACCGTGATAATTTATCACAGAAATCCGGAATTCAGAGATACCTATTCCTCGATACCGCGTTACCGTGATAACTTATCGCAGAAATCCGGAATTCAAAGACAAATCGGTAACGAGGAAGGAATTATCTTTGAATTCCGGATTTCTGTGATGATTATCGCGGTAACGCGGTATCAAGGAAGGAATTATCTTTGAATTCCAGATTTCTGAGATAAATTATCACGGTAACGGGGTATCGAGGAATAGGTATCTTTGAATTCTGGATTTCTGTGATAAATTATCACAGTAACGCGGTATCGAGGAAGGATTTATCTTTGAATTCCGGATTTCTGCGATAAATTATCACAGTAGCGCAGTATCGAGGAAGGATTTATCTTTGAATTCCGGATTTCTGTTATAAATTATCACGGTAACGTGGTATCGCGGAAGGCAATTCAAGCTTCCGTAGAAGGGTGCTGAACAGCTAACCTGATGAAGTTTCAGCTCAGCTTCAGCTGTATATTTCGAGAAAAACAACACTCTAGGATCTCGATTTCAAATCAAAAGTTGCTGAATCATGTTTTGAATTGGGCCTGAATTCAGCATCCAAGACGCATTCTCACTGAGCTGATTTCAGCTACGCGATGTCGTGCACCGATCCGATGAATTATAGCAACCGCGCGCGCGTGTGCGTCATGCCATCGCTTGCGCGCACTTTGCCTATTGAAAAAAAAACGAACTACTAATGGAAATTTCCAACAGTGCTTCTTAAGATGTACCATTGGAAAGGCCTTTCGTTGATTTCTTCGAAATGACAGCTTGCCAGAAAGAATAATTTCACAGGGAGTTTAGTCCCCTTACTATCTTTCAACCAAGTATGTTTTTCAACAAGAAATATGCCAGTTATTTTTGGATAGCTGCAAATGATGGACTCTGGCTTTAAGTTGCAGAGCATTATTGTCAGGTGCCACTTTTTCTTTTTAAGGTAATGATTTTGTCGACGGTGGTTCATTGTTCACATCCTTTTAGTTGGTTAAAGCCCTTAATACAGTTATAAAAATACTTAATGCAAATCAGTCTAGCACCCATATCAATTGCCACATGTACATTTTAACTGGCGCACTCTTCTTGCAAATTGACAGGCGCATACTAAATTATTCGAAAATGGACAGCCCTATGATGTGCATATGAGATTGATCATGGTTTCAATTGGTTTTTATTGTTACACATTTTTAATGTCAGTTCCTTCAATATAGGGGTGCATATTAAAATATTTATATTAAAATTTGTTTCAAGTTTCCGTCTGAAAGGTGAGATGTTTTCTGTCTCTCTGAGAACTACTGAGAAACAGTTCCAGAGCTGGGGTTCAACATTTAAAAAAGCTCTGTCACCGTAACTGGCAACGCAAGCTTAGGCAAGTTAAAGCAGTTGGTCAGATAACCTTGAGTCACATCTGACAGTGTGAAGCTCAGAGGCTGTAGGTTTGTAGGTAGGTTGGAGCATAAACATGTGATGAAGTTGAATTTGAAGAGAATGATCTGTTAAAAAAGTATAGCTTTGAAGCAAGCTGAGTTCATCAATGTGTTACGAATCAGTCACAAATTGAAGATTTGAAACAGGTGAGGGCCTGGTCTCAGATGTCTGATAATGGCCCAAGCTGAAGGTGAAGTCCATTATTGGAGATGCATCTATTTAGGTCTGTAATGATTATTTGATTGACTATTCAGCAACATTTTTCTGTTACATTGTGGCTAATTCCTTTCAGAAGCTGCAAAAGCATGGGCTTCCTAAACAAATGACAAAAAGAAAGCAAACCTCTAATATTCCACAAACGAAACTCTGGGACAAACACAGTGGAGGATGTACATGCTGAAAATAATAACTAGACCAATTATACTCCGACTCTTGAAAGCCTCTCTAAGGTCCCTCTTTCTCTTCTTTTCCCCAGGGAATACAGGTCTAGAGCTTGCAGTCTTTCTTGATGATGTAATGATGGCTGGCAAGGATTTTTTGTCAATAAAATATCAGCCACTTGATTAACTGAAACTGTAACTGAATGATTTAATCGCTTGAATAACAAATGTAAACGTCTGTGCTGCCTAACCTTTTTCAACATCGCCATTGTCTCTTTTAGATAACCGGGCACCAAGTATAACCTGCCCAAGCTCTATCTCTGTCGAAGCAGAGGACAGACTGACCAGTGCTGTGGTTTCCTGGGTTGTACCAGTGGCTTCGGATAATGTACCGTCAGGCTTGACAGTTACTCGGACACAAGGCACAGCCCCAGGCAGTCGCTTCAATCAAGGGTCTCATGCAATACGGTACAGGGCTGCAGATGCTGCAGGCAATACGCGAGACTGTACTTTCTCTGTAACTGTCAGAGGTATGTACTTGTGTATAGACCCAAATGAGATGCATTTCTCAAAGTCAATTTCCTATTCAGTTCTTATGATTGATTGATACCACAATGTGTTAACCTATACTACATTGTATTACATTGTGTTTTTTTTTTCACTGAAAAATCCATTAAACCATATAGTGCTGAGCCAGTTTTGAGTGCTACAGTTAGTAATAGGCAGAGTGGTTTGGCGAGGGTTAAAAGATTATCCAATTCTCAGAAGAGATTCTACAGAGCTTTAACTTGCAAACATGGCTATAACAAAGCCAGCTGATCGGTTTCATGTCTGTGAAGTATATTAACCCTAACTCTACCTAAAGCTACAAAATACTACTGGTAGTAAACTGTAGTATGCAGTACTTCAGCTTATAAGTGGGCACATCAATCATAGTATTTTCTAGTATTTGGTACCTGCATACATAATTTGTGTAGTACTTATATGTGGTACTTTACCCCAAATGAACTTTTTTTGGGGTTAGGGTTAAGGTGGTAAATAATATCACACCTTAACCTCATACAGGTGATTCACTACAAATGTTCATGAGTGAATTATAAAGCAGATTTCCTTTTCTTTCCTTTTTTTGTGGCCGGGATATTTGGAGTTGTATATCATTACAGTATCATTACTCCGGACAGAATTGGAATTGATTCCAAAAACATGGGACTCATCCAAATGACTTGACTTGGGTGACTTACTTAAACAACATTTTCTACATCCACAGTGATAACATGCACACCAGCCCCCCATAGTGGAAACCACCTGCAGGTCAGCTGTCCCCATGGGCATATCAAGGGGGCTACCTGCACATTTGCATGTGACACTGGGTACCAATTAGTTGGTACTGTGAGCTCTACCTGCCGGACTAGTGGATCATGGAGTGCATCTCAACCAAGCTGTCAAGGTAAATCAGACAACCAAACTGCATTATTAATTGCAATAGGAGTCTGAAATGTAGTACAATTAGCCTTATTTGTACATCTGCATTTCTATTTAATCTCTTTAACATTGAGCAGCAGAACAGTGATGTAATCTTGAATGTATAGAACAGAATAGAATAGAAAATACTTTATTAATCCATCAACATCAAGGAAATTACATTTTCTCACTGGTACAATAAAAAAAGAATTAGTATTTGGCCTATACAATTAAAGTTATACAATGGAAAACATAAACTAGAACTATGTCTGTTCGATGAACAGAACATCAGCTTTTCTGCAATTTAAAAATATATATATATATATTTAAGAAATATAGCTGAAAATGCATGAAAATCGTAAAGTAATTGACCGATTACATGATTATGACGTAACTTCGGATTTTGCATACAAATAACATTATCTTACAAAAAAGGAAATCTTCACAAAGAGATGTTGATAATTACACCAAAAAATAAATATATTTATTAACACTATCAGAGTACTAAATACACGGGTATTCAATGAATGGGGAGGTACGTATTTAGCCAGTGCGATTATTAGCCTCTAATTACTTTTCAATATAAAACTATAACCTGAGAGTTTCCTGAAGGTCAGTTCTAAAACAGTTCACTGTTGGTGAGTGTCGGTCCAGTGGCCCACGAAGGGATCGTTGCACTGACAGTGCGGTGGTGGATGATGCTCCTATCCTATACCGGCGACTTGGAGGGTTGGATGTCCTTGACCTTCGCCTAGGGCAGGAAGGTCCCAGCCAGTGGGTGGATCCGGTCAAAATTGTCAGGCCTGGATTGAACTCCTCAACAAGGAGCCCTGAAAATATTAAATACAATCATAAACACCTATCCTAGCATTTTCAGGCTAAACTTAAGTACACTTAAGTACATCAAATGGACCACAAAACAATGTGCTTATCCTCCCAAAGGGGCGTGTCTCAAAAAGCAGATTTGCCACCTTAACACATCTTCATATGCATGAGCTACAGTACATCAAAATTGATACATTCACCAATGTTTGAAATGAAATAATGGCATCAACGAATAAGGACAAATCATTTTCATACTGGCTCCTTAGACCTGGAACACCGTCAAGGGGTGCACATTTATTGACTCAAGCAGCTTGTGGTAACAGGCACCAATTCAGGCTAAAAATGTCGAATAAATCTCTAAGCAGCTACCGTAATGTTCGGAATATAAGCCACGGCTTATACCGTACGTTGATTTTGTCCATGAAAATGTTTACTGCAGCTTATACACAGGGCGGCTTATACGCCGAGCCTTGAAGAATAAAAATGAGATTTAAATTTGTATTTAATGTACTGGCACTTTAAGAAAAGATCTATTGCTGAAATAAATTATCAATCGTTACCGGACTTGAGGTACCGACAGTGGAAGCACGTCCCAAAAATGTACCAAAAGTGCAGCCTGCCGGCCGGCCGCGCCATGCTTGAGTAAAAGCTGTCTTTGTTGCATGCTGTACATTGATGTGTGGGCCACACCATTTGTTGTCATAAAGGGGTGTATTTTTTTGGGAACAATAATTACCAATATTTCTGCTGTTTCAAAAAAAAAAAAAATTTTTATGGAGTTTTTATGGATTCTTTATTTGACAATCAGTTGTTCAACATCACAGTATAAATTTTTTTCTTCTGAAAATGTATTAAAGAAATGATGTAAAATGCGAAACAGGGGCTAAATCACCCCTTACGAAATTACGTGTGGCTAATACCAGGCGCGGATCCAGGATTTTTTTAGACGGGGGGCACACTTTTAGAGCATTTGCTCTGATGACTAAGGCGAGCGCGGAGCGCGAAGCCCTTACGGCGTGGGGTCCGGGGCCCGCTTAAGGGCCCCGGGAAATTTTGGATTCTAGATGCTCTGTGGTGCAATCTTAGGCGATTCCTGGCCCGTTTCCCCCTGAATTGTTTGAGCAAAAGTTGCTAAGCTTATAAGAACTTTTTAAAATATACTCTTGTTTTTACACATTTTAAGCTACTGTGTACTTCAAAGTTGCAAACCATGTATTTTCGTCTTCATAATTTCTTGCATTGTATTTACAAAAAAAAAAGAGGAATAGCATTGACTTAGGTTGTAAACTGTTGCAACGATGCGCTGGGGCATTTGCTCCACGGACTAATTCGAACGCGGAGCACGAATGTCTTAAGGCGTGGGGTTCGGGGCCCACTGAAGGGCACCGGGAAATTTTTGATTCTATGCATTCTTTGTGGTGCAAACTGAGGCGATTCCCTGCCCCATTTCAGCAAAATCTTGTGAAGATTATGAGGATTTTTTTTTCATTATCGCTTCGGTTTGCGGTTTTCTTTATTTTTGGTTCATTAGTTGAAAATTGTTCCCTCGTATTTTAATACAAGCCTTTTAAGTTTCTTCTGTTCTTCACTTGATAACCAAGTATTTTTGACTGCATAATCAATTTCCTGCATGTTATCTTTGAAAAGGAATTGGATAGCATTAGTTTGTAAACTGTTTTAAGGATGCGTAGGGACATCATGACCCGAGGACTAATGCGGAGCTCGAATGTCTTACGGCGTGGGGTCCAGGGCCCGCTTAAGGGCCCCGTGAATTTTTTTGATAACTAGCTGCTCTGTGGTGCAATCTGAGGCGATTCCTGGCCCCTATCTCGAGTTATTTGAGCAAAATGTTTTAAGTTAAATAAGGATTTTTTTCAATGGATTAATATATGCTCTTGCTTTAACAAGACTTTTAAGTTTCTTCTGTTTTTCACTTGATAACCATTTTCGTCTGCATAATTATTTTCGTGCATTTTATTTTTGAAACGGAATTGTATAGACTTAGTCTGTAAACTTTTGCAAGGGTGCTTTCTAATGTTTTGTATCAAGTTTAATTTTTTAGTTTATCAATAAGATAACAATTTCTACGGAAATGTTCTACGGAAACGGACATGTTTTGGACTCCTTTAAAGCGCGTGGAGGTTGCCCTCCTCCTTCCCTCCATTTCTCTCACCTTCCCCTCTTTTCCCCCGTTTTATTCATTTTTTTAAACTTAATTTGACGGGGGGCACGTGCCCCCGCGGCCCACCCCTGGATCCGCGCCTGAATACGCTGACTTCAAATCTTAATTGCAGATTTTTGCGTGCTGCGGCTTATACTCTGCGCGGCCTATATTCCGAAAAATACGGTAATGCTGAAAAACCAGGATTCTCGAAATCCATAGTCACAAAATAGTAGCTGAGCTAATGCTGTAATGCTTGGAGCTATCGCTGTGTATGTGCTGTCACACCTCAAGCCTGTTGCTTCTCCCTAAAAAAGTGTGCCCAAAAATCTACAACCCCCGGTGTAATGTGAACACTTCAGTGAGCCAGTACTCTAATGCTACTTACTCAGCCTTAGAAATCCCCATACCAAACACAGGTTTAATAACAATACAAGACCACACCTTGTTTTGCATAAAATGTACATATAAGGTAACTGGGTCAAACTAAGCAGCACGTAGTTGAAAAAACTTTGTAGGACGTACACTTAACGTCACTCTGACAAGATGACAATACTAGTTAATGACTATTCAGTGTAAAAAAAGAAATTGCTCCCTCTTCTGACAATCGCCCTAGCAGCATGCAGCGGCTACATGAAAAGATAGGACACAATATTTTGCTATGAAAACTTATGAACTTCATGATTTTTTTGTGAATATGTATGAGGTATAGTAAAACAAATATTTATCATGGTTTAGTTCGGGTGGATAGTCAATATTAGCTCCACTCGGTATTGGAAGTTGACAGACGACTAGCTAGTCTGTCAACTTCCAATACCTGGGGGAGCTAATATCGACTATCAACCCTCAAACCATGTTTTAATTGTATACTACAACATGGGATGGTGACAAGGTCCTTACCATTAAGTGTGTGTGGTATTTATGGTAACTCTGCGACTCACATGTAGCACGATATGTAACAGAGGGGAAATTCCCCTTTCCCTCTTTTGTGTGGGTCATTGTGTTACCAGAATCTCAGGAATGGAATTGTTTTGAGATACAAATGTATATCTAGGGGGGATCTGTTTGGTAAAAAAAAAGTGTAGGGCATGTGTAGGGTAAAGGGAGATGGGGGGGGGGGGTACCCCTCTGTCACATATTGTGCTGGGTATACTATGCTG